TGATATATATGCCAGTTCGCCCAGTATGTCCAGTGTCAGGAAACGTGTACATGCATAGTGCATCTGTGGGTCAGGAAGGACCTTTGCAAGAGTCAATAGCTGCTATTAGTTGAGAAAATAGACACCAGCCAGGACCTTCCCAGGCAAGCTCCCACCCGCCCTGGTGAGTACCAGGCACCCTAGGGATAGTTTCTGCCCTTAAGAAATGCCTGAATCTGCATGAGTGTCAGAGCTGTCCACTCAATGCCCTGGCCAGGCCCCCAAACCCCCAGAACCCATCCCAGCCTCCCCTCTCTCCTAAGCAAGCCCTGCCCAGCAGAACCACCTGCTGGTTCATTCCTGGGCATTCCTGTCTCCACATCTTGCCTTCCCCAGCTTGGTGCAGCTTCTGCCTCTGCCTCATCTGCGTTAGCATGACTCAGCTCTCAGGCCCAGCATCACCAGCTCACCCAGCTTTACTCAGCCTTTGCCTCCTGGGTCTTGGCCAGCTAACATTGCTCCAAAACCCTGAGCTTTGGCTAGCAGACGTTCCATAAATATTGATTGTGTCTGAAAGGTAAAGACAGATGGGCCACTGGCAGCTGACAGAGGAGGATAGTGCCACCCTGACCTTCTCTGACCATGTGGGGACGGTTAGGTTGCCACAGATCTTTGTCCTGGCAGCTTTCAGGATGGCACTGAACCCTCAGGAGTCCGACGCTAAGGAAAGATAGCTGCGGAGCTAGAGCTCTCTCTTCAGTCACAGCTGTAAAGAACAGTGCAGACAGCCATTGTCCTAGAGGCATAACAGGAACCACGCAGATATACGTACATATGTGTCATTTTAAGGTCCTAGTAGCTATATTTAAGAACATAAGGGAAATTGTTCATTTTAATGGCATTTCTATTTAACTCAGTATACCTAATATTTTCATTTTAATCTGCAATAAATATTTTTTTAAATTGTTAATATATATCATTCTTTCAGACTGGATCTTCGAATGTGCTTGCCTCTTCTACATTTGGTAACCACATTTCACGTGTTCAGCCACCACATGTGGCTAGCAGCTGGCTACTGTATGGCATAGCAGATATCTAGGTGTATTGTTGTTCAAAGCACCTTTCATTAGACCATAGGGAATTCCTTCCTTTCTTAGCGGAGTTCTCAAAGAATCGTGCTCCAGCAGTGTCAGTCTTGGGGAAACATTCCTGAGTGGAGTGTGTGATGGGAGGAGATGGGAGAGCAGCAACTCTAAAACTTGATTTCATTCATAAAATGTCTCCATTATGCATTGCACCAATGTCTTGAGTGCACAGGGTTCTGGATTTGGTAAGAAGGTCTGAGTATTCGGCCTACGTTAGGTACCACATTGGGTTCACAGTGTGTGTGGTGCCTAACCTCACTTAGCGAGGTGTCTTCAGGACTCATGCGTGTGGCAGAATTCCCTTCCTTCTTACTACTGGCTATTTTTCCATTGTATCCACATATCCGTCTTTGTGTTTTCATTCACTGTCACTGGACGTTTGAGGACTTTTACCTTGTGGGTCTTGTGACAAATGGGAAGCGCATGCAGTTTTGAATGGTGTCCTTAGGGAAGATAATGATAGTTTGAATTTTTATTTGCCGAGATTGTCTGCCTCTCTCTACACGATTATCTTTCAGGCTCATCTTTTTATCTTTTTTTTTTTTTAGAGATTTATTTTTGTTATTTAAAGACAGTTATCTCAGTCATTTAAGGAAAGCAGGGAGAGACAAAGAAGGAGGAGATCTGTTTGCTCCCCAAGTGGCTGCAGTGTCAGGGACTGAACAGGCCAAAGCCAGGAGCCTGGAGCTCCATGCAGGTCTCCTACGTGGGTGGCCGGAGCCCAGGCCCTCGGACAGCATCCACTGCCTTCCTGGGAACGTTAACAAGGAGCTGGATCGGAAGAGAAACAGCTGAAACTTGAACCAGTACTCTATCGGTGATGTCAGCCAGGATTCTAATCAGTGTGTCAGCCTGCCAGCCCCTTCGCCGCATTGTAAGACACACCCGTATGGCTTGCTCCTGGGCAGTGAAATGGGAACAGGAGCGCCAGAGCTTTTCTGTTCCCCAGCTGCTTCACCTTGCTCTTGACCTGACTGTGGTCCCTGAGCCAAGTTGAGTTAGTAGCTGCTGCTTCAGACTGGTTATGGTCGGGGGCCAGGATGAGCAGCTGTGCTTCTGTGTGCATGTGCCTGTGGTGTGACAGTGGGGAGTGGAGAACCATCCGTTGTTGTTTTGCGCTCCTGTGATTTGGGGCTTTGTTGCTCTGCAGCATACCCCACCTCATGCAGACAGACACCAAAGGCCTCACTGAGCAAGCGACATCTGAACAGAGATGGAAGAGGGAACCAGTCCTGAGGGTCATGTGGATATATGGGCAAAGCAAGTTGCCTGCAGAGGAACAGAGGAACAGCAAGTGCCAACACTGGAAAAAGGGCTTGACCAGTGCATTCCAGGGTCAGGAAAGAAGCCAGATGTTGCCAGGCAGTGACAGCGATGGAGGGGCGTGCACCAGTCAGGCTGGCCCGGTGCCACTACAGTTGGGCTGCAGGAATGACGAGCTTGCCCCGCCTCAGGATCCTGCTCATTCCAACACAGAGTGTGTGGTGTGTCTCTAGAAAGGAGCAGAAGGGGGTGTGCAGGAAGACAAAGTTAGGCCTTCAGCCTAGCAGAGCAGAGCACCTCCCACCCAAATATGTTTGACATGGTATTGTTGCCCCAGGAAGCTGCCCAGGGCACCAGGAGGCCTCTGGTGTCTGCATCTCAAGGGCAGCCAGCTGTTAGCGCAGGACAGGCCCTCTCTCTGCCACTCACCATGTTCTTCTCATGTCATGACCTTCTTCTAGAAATCCCAGGAGCCTGCCACAGGCAACCCAAGGGTTGGCACACTGAGAGGGGGGCAGCCGCCCATCCAGAAGACGCCAGAGGCCACCAGAGGAGCCGCATGCTTCTCCCTTCCTTAAATCCTGACATTTTTCAATTTTGTTTTTGAGATGGTACTACCGTTTTAGATTTCATTTGGCTCAGTTGGGCCTTGAAAGCACAGGCAGACCCTCCTATGAGCTGGGCGGAGACACTGGACAAACTGGTGGGCGGCCCTCGAGGCAGGTGCAGGATGGAGGCAGAATGCTAAATATCAAATTCACTTAGCAGCAACTTGTCAGGAGTTGAAATGTGTTGCAGAGAGAAAACCCTGCTGTGTGTTTATCAACCACAGAAGTCGCCATGGAAATTTCTCTGGAAAAACCCTGCCTCCCACGCTTGGGTTTCTGCAGGCTAATCCGAAGCTCCCCGGACACAACGGTGGCTCTCACGTGCTCCATGCTAACCGACTGTCTGGAGTACTGAAAGAAATAGAAATATTTGTAGATTTGTAAGATCTTTGAATACCTGCATGTTATCTCTCTCCTTTTTGGCCAAAAGAAAATTTAACACATTACGCACTCGGTTTGATAGGCTATCGTGAAATAATGCATGCCAAAGTCTCGTGGTTCTTAAGGGCTGTCTTTCTCCTTCATTCCTAAAGACCTCTTATTCGTGATGGGAAGTATATTGAAATTAAAAAGGGAAGTTTCAACCAAAGTTAGTGCGGTAGTCCTCGGGACAGGGGGACCTGCTGAGAGCCAGCAGTGTCATCTCCGGGCTGGGAAAAGGGGCATGTGGGACACGGACAGACACTGACAAAAAGGCATCGCAGAGGGCACAGGGAGCAGTGGCAGAGCGACCTTGGCCTTTTGAGGAAAGCTGATTCTTTGTGGTCTAGGAGTGTCTGAGCATTGTTTACCATTGACGTCCTTGACCCATCACTTCACACACACGGTGCTCTGAGGTCACGGACACGTGCGTCTCCCTAGAGCCTCTCCAGGGTGAGAACCCTGCAGACAGCGAAGAGGCAGCAAGCAGCAGGGATGTGCACCGGCCGCACTGGCCACATGCCTGGAGAGCTGGCTTCCTAGTCGGTGCTAAAGACAAATCAGAAAGGAAATGCCCAGACTGGCAGGGGCTGGAGGCAGCATCGTGCAGAAGGCCTGACACCCTGAGTGACTCAGCCGGTCTGTCACTGTCCCTCTGAAGGGGGAAGGGCGGTCCCTTTGAGGACAAGCTGCAGTGTGCTTGACATTTGCGCGGAAGGTATGGGAGACAGGCTAGCTCCCTAAGGCTCTTTTGTAGACACCGAATTTCAAAAGTTAAAATGAAGGGAAGTGGAATGGTGACACTCAGGTGACGATGTGAAATTCCGTGTGTCGGAGTGTGTTGACAGTCATTTGTTGGGTGCCTGCCGGCTGCTGGGAGTGATGTGCTGAGCAGCCGGCCGCCTTCCCAGGAGGGAGCAGGTGCAGGATTATCCGCCTTGTCTCATCTTGCTCACTCCACCCTTCCCACTGACCTTCCTCCGTCCCGGTCCTCCTGCCTTATCACTTGGCACCAGAGCATCTCCGGGAAAGGTGGGAAGCAGCATGTTATTGCCACAGTGGGACTCCCTCCCTTTCCTTCCCTTCCTCCTTCCCCTCTCCCTAGCAAAACCATTTATAGATAAGTACAATTTACTAGGTCTGAGTCTAAGGCTCTACATTTAGTTGTTTGTTTTAATATTAAATTATAAAAGTTAAAATTTAGTAATAATCCAAAGGATGTTTTAGTCTTCTGGGGTTTATTTGGAAGGCAGAGATAGAATGAGACAGAAACAGAGAGGATTTTCCATTCTCTGCTTCACTCCCCCAATGGCCACCACAGCCAGGGCTGGACCAGAGCAAAGCCAGGAGCCAGGAGCTTCATCTAGGTCTCCCATGTGGGTGCTGGGGCCCAAACACTTGTGCCATCTTCCACTGCCTTCCCAGGCACATTAGCAGGGAGCTGGATTGGAACTGGAGCAGCCAGAACTAGAACTGGCTCTCATATGAGAGCCAAGTCAGCCACTAGACCACAATGTCCCCCTTGGCTTGTTTTCTGATGTTTTTGACAATGTGTTTGATTCTCGGAATATGTTTTGTCTTATAGACACTTGTAACCTAAATACCGAATCAAAGGACTCTTGGGCCTCTGAGAACTACAGTGTTGATGCTTTTGTGAAAAGCCAATCAGAAGCTGAGGAAGAAGATGAGGGCCTTCGGAAGTCCCTGGATGTATTCTATGAAGCGTTTGGCCGTCCACAGTCGGCCTCCAGGAATCCTCTCTCTGTCCGCGTGTGCCAGTGCCTGACTCAGAAGATCACAGAGCTCGGGGCCCAGGAGAGCCGAGCGTACACCCTCCGTACTTTCCAGATGGCCCGGGTCATCCTCAGCAGGGATGGCTGCTCAGTCCTGCAAAGACACTCCAAGGACACCTGCTTCTACCCGCTGGAGCAGACAGGTGCATCTCTGGAAGACGAAAAGCCAGTCCCAGGACTGTCAGCAGATGTCGTCCGCTTCCTCTTGCAACAGAAGGTCATGAAAGAGCCGTAACAGGCGCCTGGGGCTGGGCACAGGCAGAAGGTGCTTTGAAACGGCACTGTGGCTGGTGCTAATGCTGACCCGGGATTCTCTTGGGTGCTGGGCCCGTTGTGTGTGCCCATCCCCCAGTGAAGAGCTCTCAAGGCTGGCACCAGAGGCCTGATCCCTGGTGTCCATCAACCCTTTGGGAGAGCCAGCACGGCCTGGGGAATTTGAGCACTGGCCTCTCCTCTCCTTGGCCCAGGGCCTAGACTGACTGCTCGTGGTCCTTGCCTCAAGGAAGGACATGCTGTGGAGCCCTCTTCTGGATCAGATCACTGCTGTGCTCCGTGAGTCCCTCTCCCCACCCTGGCTGTCCACCCTCCACCTACTGGTCTCCCTGCGAGCCTTTCCAGAATCAGCATTCAGCCTGTGTCTGAGAGGAGCAGGCCCCCGTGAGATGCGCTGCCCTCAAGGTACCAAGCTGTGTGCCGAATCGAGTCTAAGAATCCTTCCGGCTTGTCCTAGAGACCATGTGATTGGGAGCATAGGTCCTAAAATAATATGAAGGTGGAACTACAGTCCCCAAAAGTATGTCACACCTTCATCATCCCGTGGCTTCTTCTCCAAATCCAGAGCTCTGTTTTATAATACCAACTAGATGTGGAGGGAACATTTGGAGCACCTAAAATAACTGCTAAAATTCACAAGTTGCTAAAAAAAAAAAAATTTAAAGGCCCTGCCTCCATCACACAGGCAGTGTGACAGGTGTGAGGAAAGCCAGTGCACACACACACACACACACACACACACACACACCAAAGCACGCCTGTGATTGGCTAAGAGAGTAAGAGTAAGAAACCATTTGCCCAGGCCGGTCCTCCTTCCTCTGGGGGGCTTTTTGTCCTTCTTCCTGCTGCCAGAATCTCCTGCCAACCTCTGAACGGTTGGCCCCTCACCCTTTACCCTCTCCTGGGCTCTGAGCTCTGTCTGCAAACACTTGCCCAGAACAGGGCCTCATGGGCACCCACCCCTGCCTGGCCTGAGCGCTCCGTTGTCAGGGGAGAGCTTTGACTAGCCGGTGCAGGCTTGCCCTGGCAGGTGCTTCGCTCTGTGGGTCACGTCCTGGACCTCCGTCGGGAGAATTACATCACTTGGCAGCAGCCTCGCTGAGCCTGGAAATGGAAGCCTGGTACTAGTTCCTACCTCGACTGTTCTTCAGATACATTGCATTGACAGAAAGGTTCTTACAGCCCTGGTTTGGGAGAACAACAGAAGCTGGTGACTCTGCAATTGGATTTTGAGAAAAATCAAAGGGAAATTGAATGGGCATAAGATCCAAGCAGCTTTTTAAAAAGTGGATTACTCAACAGGTCAGCCTGAAAGTGTACTTTTTTTTTTTTTATTATTCTGTCCTAAAAAAAAATACTTAGTTTTACTTTTGTTTGAAGGGTAGAGTTACACACACACACACACACACACACTCAGGTCCTTCCATCTGTTGGTTCAGTCCCCATATGCTCTTAACAGCCCGGGCTGGCCCAGCCTAAAACCAGGACCCAGGCACCATGTCTGCTTCCTCCTGGGGCTGACTGGAACCCAACCATTTGCTGCATCATCTGCTGCCTCATGGGGAGCCGCACTGGAAGTGGAGGAGTCAGTAAGCTAGCCAGGCACCCCAGTGTGAGAGGGGGAGCATCCCAAGCCGTGGCTGACCTGATGGGACAAACACCTGCCGTGAACAGTGTGCATTCAAAGTAGGGGTGGCGTCTCAGGAAGGCCACTACCGCGTGCAGAGAGAGCCACTGGGAGTTCGAAATGACACGCTGCGCCTTCCCAGCTCCAGGCCACTCCCAGGTGAGAACTGGGCTGCAGTGTGGAGGCCCCATGGTGGGAAAGGAAAAGGAATAGGCCTCTGAAGGATTTGAGAAAACAACATTCTAGATCTTTCTTTGCATCTTTCTCCGCAGGCTTCTCTTCCTCAGGGTCCCCAAATAATCTTGAAACCTGTGGGATGGAAAATCGACAGGTTTGCTAGGTTGCTATTTGATGCGTTGTTGTTAATGTGAAGCATTTTCATAGATGTCCTTGAAGAATACTGTAGTTTTTAGTATCATTTAGTCACTGAAATATTTGCAATTAGTCTCCATGGCTACCAATAGCTGTTTTTAAAAGGCGGTGGTGGGGGGGAGGGGAGTGTGGAACTATTTGATTCATCCCTGCTGGAAAGCAGTTGAGTCGGTTTCACGGCGGCGGCAGTTTTGGTCCCCGGATCCTCAGTAGGATTGGCACAGAGGAGGCTCAGTGCCAGGGAGCCTGTGGCCCAGGGCGTGGGGAAGTCTAAAGGCCAAGGCCACCTGAGGGTGGCACAGAGCGTGCCCAGTGTTTCCCTGTGTCTGTTAAGTGTCTGTGACAGTTGAGCACACGCCGTTTGATTCCCCCGCCATCCTGCTCCTTAGTTTGAGCTCTGGGAGGTTAGAACAGGCTTTGCCATTTATTTACCCCTGTGAACCTTTAATGGGAACTAAGAGAGAAGGCTGCCGAGGCTCTAGCCTGCAGGTGAGCTTGCCAACTTCTTCCCGCCCCACGAGTGCTCCGACTGGCTCGTGACAGCATCGGTGGCCCTTCCCCACGCCTGTCAGGATCCCCGGGAGGATAAATTTGTTTGCAGAAACATCAAAACTTTAAAGAAGGGAGCAACCGTAAATAAATACTAGAATGGCGAATGGATAGAAAAATGAGCTGCGCGTACGAACAGATGCTTCACAGAAGAGAGGATTGTTGACAGATGTGAAGAGCTATTCAGCCGTGTCATAAAGGAATGGAGAGTTTACAAAGTCTTGCTATTTTAAAATGCTCATGGTTGGCAAAGAATTGAGAACTCCAGTCTTACCTGGTGTTGACAAAGATAAGGGAACACGAAACTGTGTATATTCAGCTTTGTGATTAAGTAACTAGACATCATCAGAAAGTCCATGTTGTGGAATAGACTATGCCCAGCTTTAGAACTTTGTTTTGCCCTCCAATAAACTCATCTTTTAATTCCATTGTTCACAAACTTTGGAAGGCCCCGCGTAAATAGCTGAACACTTAAAAATACGGGACCAATGTGCTCAGACATGGCGCTGCTCGCCGCCCACATGCCAACTCTTTTTTTTTTAATAAAGATTTATTTTATTTTTATTGAAAAGGCGGATATACAGAGAGGAAGATCTTCCGTCCTATGATTCACTCCCCAAGTGAGCGCAACGGCCGATGCTATGCCGATCCGAAGCCAGGAGCCTCTTCCGGGTCTCCCACGCGGGTGCAGGGTCCCAAAGCCTTGGGCCGTCCTCGACTGCTTTCGTGGGCCACAAGCAGGGAGCTGGATGGGAAGCGGGGCCACCAGGGCCTGTTCTAATCCGGCGCCCATATGGGATCCTGGGTGTGCAAGGCGAGGACCTTAACCACTGTGCCATCACTCCGGGCCTGATTTTTTTTTTTCTTCCTTTTTTATTATATGTGAGAAGATCTTCAAAAAGTTTGTGGAAATGCCTGTGATGATGAATGCACGGATTTCAAATTTTTTCATCAAAATAAAAATGTCTCTTATTTGTATACAGTTCTACAAACTTATTGAAGTACATTTGTATTTCCAGTTCTCTTTTCTTTATTTTCTGTTTTAAAATAAAAGTAGATTTACAGGGCTAGAGGAACAGAGAGAATCACCAGAAAAGAGAGATCTTCCATCACTGGTTTGCCACCCAGAGGGCTTCAACATCCAAATCTGGTCCAGGCCGAAGCTAGGAGTTCCATGCAGGTGTCCCAGGTGGATGCAGGGCCCCACGTCCCTGAGCCATCACCCACTGTCTCCCAGGATGTGAAGTAGTGGACAGCCTGATGGGCAGCAGGCGAGCCTGGTCAGAACCAGATCGTACATTCTGGGCTGTGGCATCCAAGCAGCATGCCAACTGCTGTGCCAAGTGCTTGCCCAAGTCGCAGTTCCCTGTGTCCAGCACTCACCTTCTGGACCCAGCAGACAGCCCAGACAGGAGATGCTGGAACTGGGAGACAGAGAAAGCCTAGTTTGGAGATTTGACTGTACTGCTGTGCAGCCTCGGGCAAATCGCTCAACCTCTCTCGTTCTTCAAAGAAATAATGGAAGGGAGGAAGAAGTTGAGTGTCAAAAGCTTGGGCAGGTTCGTCAGAGCCTACCAAGGCTGAAGCTATGAGTTGGGAACTCAGGGTCTTCCACTTGAGTGGCAGGGACCTTAAGTACTTGAGTCATCACTACTGGCTTTCAGGGTCTATACTGGCAGGAAGCTGGAACTGCAAGTGGAGCCAGACTCAAACCCAGGTACTCAGATGATGAATGTGGGCGTCTTCTCTAGCCATCTTGCCTGCTAGGCTGCAAGCTCTCCCCTGCCCAAGTGTTTTCAAATACCTCTCCATGGGAATCATTTCCCAGCCTTGGAAATGCGCTCTTCTCGGCTTCCCTTGCTGTGCTTCAGCATGCTACTTGAGTTCCAAGAAGAAGACACACATGTGAGCCTCAGCTGAAGGAACAGGCAGTGGGGCCCTGCGCGGTGATTCAGTGGCTAATCCTCCACCTTGCGAGCACCAGGATCCCATGTCAGCAGCATGACTGCTACTTCTTACAATTGCACATGACTGGACAGGTGCCTCACAGTAAACTTCTTAAGGAGGATGTCTGGTGGCAAGGGTCGGTTTGTGTCCCAGCTGCTCCACTTCCCATCCAGCTCCCTGCTTGTGGCTTGGGAAAGTGGTAGAGGACGGCCCAAAGCCGTGGGACCCTGCAGCCGTGCGTGGGAAATCTGGAAGAAGCTCCTGGCTACTGACTGTGGATCAGCCCAGCTCTGGCCATTGTGGCCATTTGAGAAGTGAACCAGCAGATGGAAGATCTTCCTCTCTCTCCTTCTCTCCATAAATCTGATCTGCCTTTCCAATAAGAAGTAAATTTAAAAGGCCCGGCGCGGTGGTGCAGTGGTTAAGGTCCTCGCCTTGCACGCCCGGGATCCCATATGGGCGCTGGTTCTAATCCCGGCAGCCCCGCTTCCCTTCCAGCTCCCTGCCTGTGGCCTGGGAAAGCAGTCGAGGACGGCCCAAAGCTTTGGGACCCTGCACCCGCGCGGGAGACCCGGAAGAGTCTCCTGGCTTCGGATCAGCATAGCATCGGCCGTTGCGCTCACTTGGGGAGTGAATCATCGGACGGAAGATCTTCCTCTCTGTCTCTCCTCTCTGTATATCCACCTTTCCAATAAAAATAAAAAAATAAATCTTTAAAAAAAAAGAAGTAAATTTAAAAAGAAAGAAATAGGCAGTGCATGGAGCATCCGTGTTGCTGAGGCTGGAGAAATCGGAAGGCGAAGTGTTTCTAGGGTTAGGGAGGTAGACGCAGCTTGCGAACCACGGGCAAGATGGTGTAGTTGTGGACAAGGACCGGGGTGTGGATTGCTGACCACAGCTAAGGCAGACTGGCCCGGGAGTCGGGGCAGCCATGTTTGTTACTCCAGCTCCATAGTCTGACTTCCAAAGTCTTTGCCGGAATCCCGACTTAAAAGCTACTCTTTTTTTTTTAATTGCTTGTCATTTTATGACATCGTTTCATAGGCTCTGGGGGTCCCCCAACCCCTCCCCGTGCCCTGCCCCCATGGTGGATTACTCCACCTTATTGCAGTACTACAGTTCAAATCAAGTCTTGTCAAAGCTACTCTTCTTGCCTTTTCAACAGCTTGGTACATTTCTGCCCAGCCCTTTCCTGCCAGAACTAGCGAGAGTGGAATCCGTGGATTGTGGCTGGTACTGCTGATGGGCTAAGATCCTCTCTTGAATGATCAGCCGTGTGGCTATCTTGTGTATTCAAAAGTAAGCAAGATGCAATTTAAAAATAAATAATGTAAAAGAATGTGATCTCCCCTCTTCCCCCTCTGGCTTTCTAACCCCGTACTTTGCCCTCTCTCCAATCTTAGTCTCTCAAACTTGCTCTCCCTCAGGACCTCTCTTTCCTGAGTCCCCCTCTTGTGCCTGTCTGCCAATGGGAAAGTCACCAGTTTTGGGTCAGATTCACCAAGCCTCAGCTATTTATCGGGCTTAATGTCACGGTGCCCTTTGAAAATTTGAGTTATCTATCTCTCAGCTGCCAGGTCTTCGCCAGGTTCCTCTCCGATAGCTCTGATTCCTCATGGGATGGCCCGCTCAGACATGTCCTTGTCATCTTAAACAAAATGTGTTTAGAAAAAAAAAGTTTGTCCTCTTTTCTGCGGGCTATTATTGTCACACGATGTCTCCAATCCGTGAATGATTTTCCCAGCCTTCGAAATGCCTGAAAGTGTGGCTCCATCCTGACTTTTTGGCTTCTGAACATCTCACTTTCTGTAGCGTGGTGCGTCATGAGCCAACATACAGAGCCAAACTACCAGGCCGTGAATTTTGACCTTCGTTGATGAGGGTGTGGCCTTGGGCGTGGTACTTACCCTCACAGCCCCTCTTTCCTCCTCTGTGAAACCAGAATAATAACTGACCCAGGAGGTACAAGTTCAGAGATGCACCTGGCAACATAGTGGGTTTTTCCACCCCTTACAAAGTGGAGCTCTTAAGGAGGATGTCCGGTGGCCATGGTCGGACTGCCACACAGAATGCCACGCGAAGGTGCCTGGTTCACTGGTTGGGCTGTGCTCCCCATTTCAGCTTCGTGTGAATACATCCCCCAGGAGAGAGCAGGTGCTGGCTCAAGTGGTTGAAACCCTGGCACTCACGTGGGAGACCGCCAGTGAAGGAGAGATCCCCACTTGTCTTGATCTGTCCGTCTCCCCGTGTGTCGGTTTTCTTGCTCTTCCAGACGCCATCCTTCGCTTCAAGCTGCCGTCTCCTTGAGGCCACCTTGAGGTTTCTCCTGCTGCCGGTTCTCTCCCTTGCAGGTGCTCACACAGACCACCTCTGCCCCTCCCACCCCCAAGCCTCCCAGGCTCCTCAGTATTGACAGCCCATGCTGGTGTGGTCCAGCTGCGGTGCCCTGGCCACAGCCCTCACACCTGACAGCCCAAAACATCCTATTCTTCTCTTAGTCCCCACACACTCCCCAACTGCTTGTGTGCTTCTAACGCTGTAGCTGTCAGCGTGTGCACGTCTTCTTTCTCTGCATAGAAAGCAAGTTCCCCAGGAATCGCATTCAACCAAGACTAGACCCAGACCGGTGCAGGGCAAGAGCTGAGATGAGCGTAGGTCTGTTCTCTTTGCTGTTCAACGCCCCCAGAGCAACCAGCTTTGCAATTCCTTTCTCTTGCCTGCAATTGAAACCACAGAGTGTGAAAGCTAACGGCAAGTGGCCGGAGCGGGAGAGGGGTCTGTCCCCTCTGAGACACCGGAGCAGAAGAAAGTCCAGCTGCAGGCATGAACAGCAGCCACCCAGCCTGTCCCAGCCAGGCTCTTCTAACCCTTCCGGGCCTCTCTGCCACATCTACCAAACGAAGACACCAGCAGAGCCACAAAGGCCCATTGGGCTCAAACATTCTGGAACAAATCTCCAAGCAGGTGGCTTCAAGAAGCTGCCTTCTGAATTACACTGAGCTGTGTGGAGTTGCTGCAGGGAACATTAGTTTCTGCTTGTAACAGTTCATTTCTTAAATTTAGCCTCTCCACCAGGAGCCCAGAGCATCTTCCAGGCCTCCCACATGGGTTCAGGGTCCCAAGGCTTTGGGCCATCCCTACTTTCCCAGACCCCAAGTGGGGAGCTGGATGGGAAGTGGGGCCGCTGGGATTAGAACCGGTGCCCATATGGGCACCTGGCAAATGCAAGGCCACAACTTTAGCCACTAGGCTACTGTGCTGGGCCTCCTCTATATTATTTCTATAGTATTTGAAATACATACTCGTATACTATGGAAATATACACATTTGAAATGTATAGGACTAGGGCCTGACACAATGACTCAATTGGCTAATCCTCCCCTTGCAAGCACTGGGATCCCACGTGGGTGCCGATTCATGTCCTGCCTGCTCCACTTCCCATCCAGCTCCCTGCTTGTGGCCTGGGAAAGCAACAGAGGATGGTCCAAAACCTTGGGACCCTGCACCCATGTGGGAGACCCAGAAGAAATTCCTGGCTTCGGATCGTCTCAGCTCCAGCCGTTGTGGCCATTTGGGGAATGAACCAGCAAGTGGAATATCTTTGTCTCTCTCTTTCTGTTTTTAAATAAACCTTTCCAATAAAAGTTTAAAAAAATAATTTTTTTTTAAAGTTTCGGGTCACGCATTTGGTACAGTGACTTGCATGCCACAGTGTGTGCCGGTCCCTGAGCTCCTGTCTTCCTGCCCTGGGAGGCAACAGGTAACGTTCAGGTGCATGGGTCTCTACCATCCACATGGGAGACCAGACACGGCCCTGATCTGACCCAGATATTGCATCCATTTGGAGAATAAACCACCAAATGGAAAATATCTCTTTGCCTTCCAATTAAAATCAAAATTATAAAACAATGCATGTGAAAGTACTTCAAAAGTTTATGACAAATGCAATTAAAAGGATGAAATTATTTTGGTTCAAAAGAAACGTTTAAATACATGCATAGTGTTTGTGGAATACTCATTTTCCACACACCAGGACTTTTTTCACATCAAGTTTTCTTTTTTTTTTTTTGCAGTTTTAGAAATTTATTTGAAAGGCAGAGAGAGAGAGAGATGGGAAGATCTTCCATCTGGTGTTAATTCCTGAAATAGCCACAGCAGCCAGGGCTGGGCCAGGAGGGGCCAGGAATTCCATCCAAGTCAGCCATGTTCTTGGGACCCAAGCACTTGAGTCAGCTGCTGCTGGCAGGAAGCTGGGATTAGAAGCAGAGCTGTGACTTCAGCCTGAGCCAGGACCCTAATCCAGATACTCCAAAGTGGGATCCGGATGTTCCAAGTGTCGTGGTAATTCCTGGACCAAGCATATCCGTATTTGATCTTATTCTTTTTTTTAATAACACCAGACAAATATTCCTCAAGGATTGGATTCGGAATTTCATGTGCCAGTCACTTAGCACCCACGGTCGCTAGCTTTCTGTTCCCTCCCCTTTTGCACACATTGCTTCTTTTTTTTTTTTTTTAGATTTATTTATTTTGATTGGAAAGTCAGATATACATAGAGGAGGAGAGATAGAGAGGAAGATCTTCCATCCAATGATTCACTCCCCAAGTGGCCGCAACGGCCGGTGCTGTGCCGATTCGAAGCCAGGAGCCAGGAACCTCTTCCAGGTCTCCCACGTGGCTGCAGGATCCCATAGCTTTGGGCTGTCCTCGACTGCTTTCCCAGGCCACAAGCAGGGAGCCAGATGGGAAGCGGCACCACTGGGATTAGAACCGGCGTCCATATGGGATCCTGGCATGTTCAGGATGTTGTATGGTTACGTAACCCGAGGCCAGAGCTGATATTGACAGCTGTGCCCAAAGGGGTTCCATTTCTTTGTTACCAGGAAAAAATGCCCTTGGGCCTTCTGGGTGAACGTTTGGCAATCCCTGTGTCCTATGCCATCTGATGGCCTTGGGGGTTAGAAGGTGGAAAAGAGCAAGCCAGAAGGGTCTTTGTCCTCAGTGGAGGTTCTTTCCCGAGTAGAGTCCAAGGCACAAATTCCAGTGCAAAGTAGTTCATTTGAATAGAATACAGGGGACCTGAGATAGGGGAGGGAAGCAAGCCATAAGAGGTACAAACGATCCATTAAATCACTAACGCAACTGGCGATGATCCTCCTGGGAAACCCCAGGAGCCAGTGCAGAACGGGAGCCTCAGATCGGGAGGCTCCCACTCCAAGGACCAGGGGGCTAAGGTCTGTAAATACCGGTTCCCACCTGTCGTCAGAGGTTGGCTGGACCTGGATGGCGCTCATGCTGCAGCGCTGCTCAGCTGCTTGGTGTGGGGGCATTGTGGATGGCAGCCACCAGACAGAGCCCTCGGCGAAGAGGCCAGTGCTGGCAGCTGGAAGTGAGAGCGGCAGACACGAAATGCTAAGGACGGGGCATCCGTGGCACCTGCTACCCTGCGCTCGTCCTCAGGCTTGTCGCACGCCCAGCAGACATCACAGCATCAGTCAGGATGTACACCGAGACCCACTGCCATGCACCAAATCAAGTTTCTCCTTAGTCCGGCCGCTGACTATTTTCTGCTCCATAATGCTCCAGCCAAGTTACGGGCTCATGCTGACATGTAGTCTTCTTCAGTCAGAAGCCACCAGCACGTTGTTTTTTGTTTTGTTTTTCAAAGATGTGTTTATTTACTTGAAACTTAGAGTGGCAGAGAGAAGGAGAGAGAGAGAGCTTCTATCCTCTTTTTACTCTTCGACTGGTCTATACTGGCAGGTCTGGGCTACACTGAGACCGGGAACTCTGTGCTGCTTGTCCACTGGGTGGCAGGAACCAAGGACTTGGCCATCTTGTGCTCTCTTCCCAGGCTTCCTGACACTCTGACATGAGATGGCTGTGTCCCAAGCAGCGGCTTAACCCACGGTGCCACAGGCACAGATTTCTACTGTGATGCTGAGCATTCTGCTCGGCGGATGTTGCAGATATAAGAACACATGATAACACACAGCAAACACATTCAACAGATCAACAGGCTTTGATAGAATGAATCATGGGTCAGCAGAGGCACATGATCTTGAGGGTGGCTTTTGTCTTTTCCAGGGAAAGAGGCTAGGTTCTGTCAACACCCTGTGCTTCAACTGCGGGTCAGCCAGCAATGAGTTGGCAACTCGGCAACATCTGTGAGAGAGGCTGGGACGCTGGTGACGGCAGAAAACACCTGCTCAGTTTGTTTGACGTCCTGCCGAGGATATGCATCCTGCCAGCGTTTACTGCCTACGGTTTGCAGTGTGATCTGTTCATGAACAGGTATCTTCAAGTCTGGTGTGTGTGTGTTTTTTTTTCCTATGATTTACTATTTATAAACATTTAACCTGAGTGTGAGCCTTTAGTTGAAATATGTATATCAGGATCAAGTACCTTACGGGGCGTTGTGGTACAGCTGGGTACGCCGTTACTTGGCATATCTGCGTTCCATCTCCTAGTGCCAGTTCAAGTCCCCTCTGCGCTGCTTCTGATGCAGCTTCCTGCTAACGTGCTTGGAGAAAGTGTGGATAAGGACTCAGGTACTCCATCGTGCACCCCACGGCGGAGACTCAGATGCAGCTCCTGGCTACAGCCTGGCCCAACCACACACACCTGTTGTAGCCATCCAGGGGAGTGAACCAATGATAACATGAAATTTGAAAACATGTGTAAAATTTGCTTTGAAATATGTTACCGAACATGACAGTGTAATGTTAAAACGCACGTCAAATACACAGGTCTTAGCTCCACATTCTTATCATTTTCTATATAGTTGAAATAAACTCAAAGAATATATGTACCACATGCTTTGAGTATATTAAATGTTTATCCTCATGCGTTTGTTTAAAATAACTTGGGAATTTTAATTACCAGAAACTTTCCTAAAAGCGATCTTTTTTTCTTAGGAACATACTTGAGGACCTGGCGCGGTAGCCTAGCAGCTAACGTCCTCACCTTGCACACAACGGGATCCCATATGGGCACCGGTTCTAATCCCGGCGGCCCCGCTTCCCTTCCAGCTCCCTGCTTGTAGCCTAGGAAAGTAGTCAAAGAAGGCCCAAAGCCTTGGGACCCTGAACCCACATGGGAGACCCAGAAGAGACTCTAAGCTCCTGGCATTGGATTGACACAGCTCCGGCTGTTGCAGCCGCTTGGAGAGTGAATCATCGGACGGAAGGTCTTCCTCTCTGTCTCTCCTCCTCTGTGTGTGTCTGCCTTTCCAATAAAAATAAATAAATCTTTTAAAAAAAAAAAACACACACAGCCTTTCATAGGTCCTAGCACGTAAAAATTATTTTTGGGGCCATCCTTTACTGCTTTCCCAGGCCACAAGAAGCAAGCTGGATGGGAAGTGGGGCCGCTGGGACAAGAACCAGCACCCATATGGGATCCCAGTGCATGCAAGGTGAGGACTTTAGCCACTAGGCTACAGTGCCTAGCCCTATGTTAAAATTTTAAAGATTTATTTTTATTTGATAGGCAGATTTACAAAGAGGAATCAGAGAGAAAGATCTTCCATCCACTGGCTCACTCCTCAAGTGTCCACAATGGCCTGAGCTGAGTCGATTTGAAGCCAGGAGCCAGGAACTTCTTCCAGGTCTCCTATATGGGTGCAGGGTCCCAAGGTTTTGGACCATCTTCTGCTGCTTTCCCATTCCACAAACAGAGAGCTGGATGGGAAGTGGATCAGCCGGGATATGAACTGGCTCCCAGGTGGGATCTTGGTGCTTGCAAGATGAGGATTTAGCTGCTGATCCACATGCCGGGCCCAAAAAATTTCAGTGTCTTAAAAATTAATTTGTTTTTATTTGAAAAATGGAAAAAGAGAGAGAGTGCTCTCAGCTGCTGATACACTGTCCAAGCTGCAGTAGCCAAAACCGGGTCAGACCGAAGCTGCAGACTGGGAATTGAATGCAGGTTCCTCTCTGGGTGGCAGAGAGCCGGCTCCGTGGGCCGTGCAGAAGGCTGGCATGGGGGCAGAGCTGGAGTCCAGCCCAGTACTCCAGGAGGGCGTGTGAGTGTCCCGGAGGCGTCGGAGTGCTCCGCCACATGCCTGCGGTGAGAGAGCTCGTTCGACAGATGTCTTTCCATGCTATCAAGATATCGAAAAAATAAAAATAAAAATAAATAAATAAAATAAGAATAAAGAAAAAGATATCGATCATATCGTCTGTTTATAATCGTGTAATCTACAGAATGAGTACCCTTTTCCAAAATGCTTTGATTTATGCATGCAGTGGTTTGAAATATTTGTATGTACACAGTAAGGTGTCTTGGCGATGGGACCCAAGAATCGACTCCTATTGAGTAAATACTTTTATTCCTGTAGCATACAGGTGAGGTGTAAACATTTTGTGCATGAAGCCAAGTTTCATGGTGTGTGTTTTCTGCTCTGAGCGTCATGCTGGCGTTTGAGCCGTTCAGTTAGGAGACTTGTATCAGCATCTGCATTTTCCTGCCCAAACGTAAGAGTCACATTTATACCATTTGTAATATATATGTTTTTAAAGATGTATTTATTTTTATTGGAAAGGCAGATATATATAGCAAGGGAGAGAGACAGAGAGGAAGATCTTCCGTCCAATGATTCACTCCCCAAGTGAGCGCAACGGCCGGTGCTGCGCCCATCCGAAACCAGGAGCCAGGAGCTCTTCTGGGTCTCCCACGTGGGTGCAGGGTTCCAAGGCTTTGGGCCGTCCTCCACTGCTTTCCCAGGCCACAAGCAGGGAGCTGGATGGGAAGCGGGGCTGCCGGGATTAGAACCGGCACCCATATGGGATCCTGGGGCCTTCAAGGTGAAGACTTGAGCCACTAGGCCACCGTGTTGGACCCACCATTTGTAATTTTTTTTTTTAAGATTTATTTATTTTCGCTGGAAAGTCAGATATACAGAGAGGAGGAGAGACAGAAAGCAAGATCTCCCATCTGTTGATTCACTCCCCAAGTGGCTGCAATGGCAAGATCTGAGTTGATCCTAAGCCAGGAGTCAGGAGCCTCTTCTGGGTCTCCCATGTGGGTGCAGGGTCCCAAAGCTTTGGGTCATCCTTGATTGCTTTCCCAGGCCACGAACAAGATGCTAGATGGGAAGTGGGACCACCAGGATTAGAACCAGTGCCTAGATGGGATCCCGTTGTGTGCAAGGTGAGGACGTTAACTGCTAGGCTACTGCGCTGGGCCCCATTCATAATATCTTTATGTATGATTAGAACTGTGTCATTTATTTCTATTCTTGCATCATCATCTACTTCCATATTCACATACACGTCATGTACGTCCATGCTGATGCTCTCACCGCCTTCAGCTCCCTCTTCGGCTTCTCTTATCCGCATCGCCTACGCCTGCTCACATCCACAGCAGTCACCACGGCAAAAGATGCGTCGGTGGATGCGTTCACGTCAGACTCTCTCAGCCTGGGCACCTGTGCCTCCCCAGGGCGTGTGGTAACACCCAACCAAGACGGCGAGGACAGTTCCCTGGGAGCCAGGCAGGGCTGTTGTTAAAACTCTCACGGTGCACAGGACATCCCCGAGGTCCGAAGGGCTGAAGCGGGGAACCCCTAGTCTCCATCGGCCCTGTCCTGTCTGGACTCACCTCCTCTCTGTCACCAGCCGTGTGCGCGTGCGCGTCGCCGGCACCCTGTGTATTGGTCTGTCGTTGACAGCGGCGCGCACGGCATGTGCCGTATCCAACCCTTCCGCATCATTCATGCCTTCACTCAGCTGCACATCTGTGGTCCCCTGCGCATCTGATTTGCACTTCAACACAGGCCTGTCACAGCAGCATGAATAGGCCTTTTCAGCTAAAAACTAAAATTTGATTTCAATTCTGCCAGCCTCTGGCAACACGTGTAAAAGGTGAGGGGAACTCACTGGTGCGGTCACACTCTCTAAAATGGGACATAAACTGTTTGATGGATTTGTCTGTGCTGTTAAACACCTCAAAACTGCTGGCTTGTGGGCTCCGCTGAGTGACGAGAAGGCTCCCGTTTGATGGATCACAGCGTGCAAGTAAGCCTGTGCCTGATGAATAAATGTCACTTACTCTTCTTCCCAGGACCGGAGGGCCTCTGCAGCAGACATAATTGCCTTCCGATTTATTACAGTGGTGATAAAGGGTCATTTCTTTTCCAAAGAGCACTGCACGATGAGTTCCTGATATGGTTTGATCACATCTTGTTCCACCTGCCCTGGGCGGGGCTGGGCATGGGCACCTGGCATATGACAAGTCGCAGAACCCACTGCTTCACCCAGGGCTCACTGGGCAGTAAGTGACGTCTGAGCCCAAGACCAAGAGCACAGCCCAGGTTGCCACATTCACCCGAGTCTGCCCGTGCAGGCATTATTGTTACCCGCCAAGACAACCGTAAAACGGTGTTTCCGGATGAAATTAACCAACGGGAGATAAGACAAGCAAGGGCAGATTCCTCTGATGGCTTGTCACAGAGGGAGGGAAGGTGAGTGTTAAAAGCCAGTCTGATGTATCAACGATTGCTGTTTGATCCTGAACAAGTTACTTTTGTGTTCTTATCTTCAAAGGGAGGTTCATGAAACCCAGTTTAGAGGAATATTTTTAGGAAATATTCCTTAATAGAAGCAATGTCTGCAACACGGGAATCACTTCATGGGAGAGAAGGAGGCTCCCCAGGGTCTCGGCACGTGTCAACGCTGCTTGCTTTCCTCATGTGCGTCCCCAGCTCTTTGCCTTATTCAGACAGCTCTGTGTGATGCTCCTTAGGCTGTGATAACAAATGACCCTAACCTTGGCGGCTGAAAACGCTGGAGCTTTCTCCTCCCCTCCGTCCGGGAGCTGGAGTTCCTACGGGGTCAGGGGTCAGTCTGGCTCCGTGCCCTCCGAATGCTGCAGGAAGAATGCCTCCTCCTCTCCTGCCTGTTGGTGATGAACAGCCACCCCTGGCCGCCTCTGACTTCCATCACTCTCGTGCCTGGGTCCTGCTTCTCAGCTGAGTCCTTGGGATCCAAATCTACCTTTCCGCTCTCTTCTGAAGATGCCAGTCATCGGATGTAGGGCCCACCTGAATCCAGCCTGACGTCATCTTGACTTACCAATCATACCTGCAAAAGCCTGGCCCCCAAGGAGGTCACATTCTGGGTTTCCGCTGGGACATGATTCTTGGGGAGCATATGACTGCTGTTTGATTACTCTGACAAGCTAGAGACAATGGAACTTTATATATATATGTATAATCAGAGGTATATTGAGCTCACAGCCTGCAGGCTGAAAGCCCCAGCACATAGAGCTCAGTGGCTCTGGCAGAACTTTCC